CCCCCCCCCCCCCCCCCCCCCCCCCTCAGGCATCTCTCTCTCTCTACCCTACTTTGGCGCTACCTGGATGGAACAATTTACAATTTCTTCTTGTGAAGATGTTAATTCATGGATCTGCACCTAAAGCATATTTATACCTTAACACAGCCATTTCAAAAGTTTTTGCAATAGATGTCAAATTTGCATCAATGCTCAGCAATGACACCTTTTCAATTTTCTACTTTCCCCAAGTGTGCATATTGTACACGGTTTGACATAAGCTCTGTGGTAATGTATGTAGTGAGATTGCCCCGTAGCTCTTATTAGGTTTCACAGTTTGTTTTAACTCTCCCTTTCATCTGAGTGTGTTTCAAAGGGGGGACTGGGTGGTCTTTGCATATATTCATTTTGTACAACGCAATATCTGAATCATGTAGATAATAGCCATGTGATTTTTCAATAGTGATCACCGATTAAAATGTTTTTCTCCCTTGCACTACAAACACTAAAACTGTCATCTGTCCTCTCACATTTTAAACTCAACCTTAATATAATTCCCATGTTGATAATATTCAACTGTTCATTTAGAGACAAATACTACAGTTGCTCAAAAACCTGAATGATTAGGCTATTTGAGGTCACGACAGCATCACTGGGATACGGAAACACTTAATCTGAGCACATGGAGTTGATCTGTTTTTAATATCAACCATCAGGACAATATAAGTAGTGTTTTAGAGGTTCTGTTTAAGCTCAACAAGAATCACGTTTGCGTTAACACTGTTGTCAGTATTGGAGATTGCTTCAGCAGTATAACAATATGTTTAATAAAATAATCTCCAGACAATTATTTCCTTGTCTGGTAACAATGAGAAAGATCAGTTGTTTGATAAATGACTTCACTGTACACTTCCTCGCTTGGTTACTTTGAGAAACAAGGAAGTGAAACAAATTCTGGTTCTTTTGTTCTTTTATTTTTCAGCACACTGCAAATATACGATTGACAATTGTATCACGTCTTAAAACTTAAAACTGTACAGCTTGAAAGTGGCATCGTAACACTGGTAAAGTGTAACAATGGTTCAAGTACACAGTCAACTCATTGTTTCTGTCTGACATGAGAAAGACGAGGGAGAATTTAAACATTTGCATTAGAAATTAAAAAGAACTTTTTAAAGAGAAGCTCACTTTGGCAGCTGCAACCTCAAATGTTACTAATTGTACTTCAGTAGTAACAGCAATATCATTTCATGGCCCCAACTAAATTATTATTAAAACATGAACTAGGTAATGCAGGCAGTTATGCATTTAAAAAAAAAAACCATTACAATCAATTCAGCAATTTCTCAGATTACTCTCCAATTAATTTCCATTACATTTTCAGTGAGGTGCATTCCTAAAAACTGCAGCATCCCGATCATCCTAAACAATCAACGGACATTTCCAAGTAAAAACCGATCCTTAATAAACAATGCATCACAGGCAGTCTCACACATTAAATACATCTGATTTGAGGATTTAAATGGTTTAAAGATAAAGACGTGCAACAATGCTGGTGGGTAGAAGCGGCACTGAATCACGTTTAACCCACGTTACAGTGCATTTGGTTAGTTTATAGCGCAGAACAAACGGCAACAAAACAAAGTAAAATCAAGTTTCAAAAGGTCCTGGTGATCTTATGCTACATACTGTATGTTCCCGTTTCATTTCAAATACATATTTAACTTTTTTTTTTTTTTTTTTAAGAATTGCATGCAAACAGTCATTTGTTATTAAATACAACTATGACTTGTACCTAGCTCATCCCTGCGGAGTAGTATGGCAAAATAGACCAATATTACACTTTGGCCATCTCATCCAAACTTCTATCTAATTTTATGCTGAATTGCCTGATCTGGTGAAATTATTGCATAAAGATTCTTAATTGACGTCTAACATAACACTATTAAAATCAAAACCTATTGAAATAGGCCTGTGTGTACCTCTTCGAGGTGGTTTTTATTATGATTGTGTTCTTTATGCGTAGCAACCAGTTTACCCACACTTCCCCTTGCTTGTGTATCTAGCGGCATGAATTTAAGGCATAAGATTGCTGTTAACACTAAGATACCTGGAAGTGTGTTTGAGAGATTCACTGAGAAATCTGGGTCAGTTAAAAATGCAGTCAACAGCAGAAACAAGCAACTGCAAGTGTAGCAATAAAAATCCCAAACCACCACTATCCCCGACCTAAAATATTTAAGGAAACAGTTTTAAGCCTTTTGGAGAATTGATAAAAAGGAGTCAAGAGTATCCTTACATGCATACGAGTGAAGATAAAACAATCCTGAATAACGCAGTGTTTGACTGCAAAATGACCGAATAAAACAAAGGAGGCATCAATCTAAAGTGCAGGCATTTTCCCTCTATTTCACCATCCTGCCTCTGGATTTGTGGAGAGTACCTGCTCTCAGAGCAGACACCACCCTGTAGGTTTCAGTCTCATGAACTGTGGGGGTTTCACTCAGCCAGCAGAGCAGCCAGCAGTGCAGGGTAGTTTGGTGTCCCCCATCCTGTAACAGGATCCCACGATGGTGCAGCACAGAAACCTTGACCCTGAACCTGTTCGTCCAGACAGCTCAGGTGACAGCCCTCGGTCACCTGGAGATGCAAAGCATTTAGGAAACAGACCACAACTACAAGGTATGTTGACAAAGGGTTTCCCTCTGCTTTCTCTTCACACAATACCTTATTGAATGTACAAACATAGTCTGGTGTTTTTCATACTGCAATTTGAGTTATTTTGGATAGTTCTACAGTTTGGTTCCTGCTATTTTATTTTCTGTTCAAACTACATTTCTAATACTCTGTCCCCATTGTTTATGTAAATTGGTAGAACACATTTCTAGGCACCTGTTAATATAATGTAGTCCAATACAACAGTCCTTTTAACTATGATCTCAATAATACACATGTAATTTAATTTACACATTTCCGACAAAATGTTCAGGCTGAACATTGTAAATTTGGTAAAATGCAGGTATTTATGGCAGAGCTGTGGTATTGAACTGCAATAGATTAAATACACCAGTGTATCCACTATGTATAGATGAGATTGCTATATAAGTCTAAGTCTGGAAACAAGCTTTACGGGTCAAGTGTATAACGATGTAACTACTGTAATAACTTGACTTACATCAAACAGAGCTTGTCCCTTGAGCTTGTAGAGGCGAGGGTTGAGGAAGCCCAGGGTGGGCAGGCCCTTCAGCAGCCGCTGGTCATTGATGAGAGATAGCATGCCTCCGACCACAGGGGTTGATGCCTGGAAGGTAGATCAATCGATGAGCGATACAATAAAGTGACCAATTATTACTAAAAAGATAACTACTGTGTATACTCTTTTAGGAATGTTTTTTGGACAGTGACAATGTGAATAACTTGCTTGTATGTTTAGATTTATTTATATTTTAGCCTTTGTTTTCACTACAGGAAATCATTGTATGGCTTTATCTGTTCCGTCACATTACCAACGCTGTACTCGCGAAGAAGCTTAACCAAATGTGAGATATTTTACCGAGGTTCCAGACACCCAGGGGACCGGTACTCTGTTCATGACCACCCAGTAGTTATCCGACAGGGCAGCCATGTCTGGATAGGCCCTGCCGCTGGTATTGAAGTATGACTGAGGAGGAAGGGTTGCTGCTACAGTCTTCAGGTACCCATCTACTGCGCTGGCCTACAGGAACACAAATACACATCATAAATTACTGCAATAACTGCGCCTATAAGAGCTGTTGACCCGATGTTCTTACCTGGTAGTCGGGCATCTTGAAGATGTTGCTGAAGCCTCCTCCACTGATGTAATCTGTAACCTCATATGTGACTTTAAATGGGTTCTTGAATGATGTTCCTCCTACTGTAGTCACATATGGGCTGGGAACGAGTGACAGGACATAGAGCGATGGATGTTAATGCTTTTCCCACACCCTTTGAGAGTAGACCTGCACTACACTAGCGACAAAACATACACGAAGGGGGGGGGGGGGGTTTGGATGGACCCAGAAACGTCTGTCTGTTGCACTGAATCAACCTTTTGCAAAGAATACTGCCGGCTAAATTGAATTGTTTTTCTTTCTAAATTTGAAATGGAACATCCATATGTCTTTTTGGATTCCCACAACACCAACACAAGGCGCGAGACACATGCCCAGTCCAGTCCTATGCTAATGGCAGTAACTAGTGTCACGCAGAAACATGTCTGCATTCAGAAATGTAGAACATACCTTGATGCAGGAAAACTTGGCCTGAAGGAGTTTTGGCCTTTACCCAAATGTTTGCAGCCTGCACCACTGTCACCTGAATATGAAACAAGATCCGATACAAAGAGTGATGTAAGAGATGCTCCTTAAACATCAGACTAAAGATTATGTAGCAGGTTCAAGTTCTCTTTTTCCAGTGCCAACATGCCTAGGTTTTTATTTAGAACAATAGTGGTATGTTTATGTTTCAAGTGTGATAATGTGCTGTCAATAACAACTAAGCATCGCCACAGTAAGTTGAAACCATCCGCTCCCTCTCAAGCTGTTGCAAAAAGTTTCAGTTTACAGTTCCCAATTTGGTGAATTCTTGTCATTTGTGTCCACTGAAAACAGGAATTTGTTATTTTGCTAAACAAACTAGATGAATTAGAAACAAAGCCAGAAACTAGTGAGAGTTCGCAGTCATTGCCTTTAACAAGAGTGACAGAATGTGACTTTGATGCGACGATCACATTTTCAACAGGCTGAAACTCCTGTAGACAAACGGACACAAACAAAGGCTTTGTTAGCTCATTAACGGCACTAATTTGCCGACACGGTATAGATTAAGTGTAGTTTGGGGATGTTGTTGAATGTCTCTGTGTGGATGGGCTCAGCATACTTCCTCCTCACTGACCAGAAGCAAAGAGCAAAGAGATTCCCCTGATGCCGGCCTTCATAAACTCTGTGTTGATGCGCATCATGTATGCAGTGGACAGGCTGTCTTCATCGTCTCCGTAGCTGATGGTGTGAACCCAGGGGAGGTCAGACATGTTGCTGAGCAAAACCATCCACTGGAGGAACGGCTCCTGGGACTCGTGACGACCTGAAGGAGTATTCATTTATGCTATTTTACCTCCTAACTTTGCTGAACACTTTCTTTTAATGTAACTGTACACTTAGCCTACATATGATTAGGGTTAGTGTCTCTCGATTTAACGTCATTATTTTAACTGAAAAAAGTTAATTCAAAGTCAATATCATTTTTCAGTTCTTCACACACACAATTGAAGCCTCAATCTCATACAGACCTTGATTGGTGAAGACCCATGTGGAGATGTTTGCCCCTGTGCTCATGATGTACTCTACATCCAGACTGGCCTCAATACCGACCTTTCCTGCTCCCTGGGTGCCTACGACCCGGTACACCCGAGAGAGATGCTTGAAGCTTCTGCCATACATGCACATGAACTCTGCCAGGTCTGCATCGCTGTAGTACTGCTCCAGGAACTAAAAGAGAAAACAGCTAGCTGAAGTAAGAAAGTACACCAAGCTGTGTTGAGAATAGTGTCTGAGCTAATGTGTACATGCCTGACTGCAACACACGCACAGCCTTCTACTATGAACTCATTCTGAGATGGCCACACCTGAGCTACAGCCTGGCTGTTGTTCTGAGCTGTTCCCACATCAGTTGCTGTGAGGTTATAGCGGGCTCTCAAGACAGAGGGAGTCACTCCCAGGTGCAGCCCTGCCTTGGACCGCTTTTGCTTCCTGTTAGACGAGGCTTTGCGGAGGTCCTGCCCTTTAGGAGGGAGGCGGTGAAGCCCTCCAACTGTGGAAACAAAAAGAAAAAAACTAAATATACAGCAATCACAGATGACAGCTGAACATGTTACACCTTTAGAAATGGTTCTCACCAAAGTCCAGGTGCTGGTGAACATCATCATGAACAGAGTACGGAGCTGAAGACCTCACCAAAGAGTGGCCATCCCTGATGTAACGGTGGAACTTGCTACCTGGAAGCAGGGTCTCTGCAACCCTGAATGCACAAAACAAAAAGACAACCACAGCCTTGGCTTGTATGCAGAACTCTGAGTAAGTTAAATATACTCCAAGAGTGCCTTTGTTTTACTGCTGCCAGCAAATAAAACAAATGTTCACGGTCTAATAACCTTGACCTAGATTCCTGACAGACTGATTTTAACCAACAACCACAGAAAGAGGAACTGTATCACGAGATAAGAGCATGCTTGGGTTACACACAGGGAACTTCAGCAGAAAAGGTAATTTTTTTTGTGTCTTAACTGTCAAAAGCAAGTAGAAATTACTGTTGAGTAAGTAGAACAAATGTTGCTTAAAAAAAGATATGCTTACTCTGCAGTCATGGTGCACTGTAAAAAGTCCTGAGTGCGTACAGTCAGGCAGTTTGTAATCCCATTACTCTGCAGCCAGTGATGCACCATTTTCTGGGTCAGCTCAGTCGGACGCACGAGGGACGACACTTCTTCCAGGGTGAGGTACTTACCTGTGGAGGACAAATCAGGCTTATGTCTCTCTGTTGTATAAAAGGGCTTTTGTCTCATCAGTTTAACATTGTTTTAGATCCCAAATCTTTAGAGCTACATGAAGACCCTACCATATTGTGCTGAGTCAGGGTCCGACACCAGCCTGAGTGTTTCCTCTAGCAGGTCAGTGTTTTGCTGCTTCAGGGCAAAGGTCAGCTCCAGCTCCTCTGAGGGGTTAACCCGACCCACATGAGTCCAGTCGTCTGGTATCCTGAGGAAAGATAGAAACCATTTATTGATGTTTTACGATTGATGACTTTGTTGTGTTTCTACGGTAAACTGAACCATTGTGCAAACATTCAGAAACATCAAAGTAATTTGACCTTTTCTGACCAACCCAGAGATTTTAATCCTGATCCTAAAGTGTTTCATTCTGTGCTGCAGTTCACAAGATTATTCAAAAACAAATTACCGATGAAGTTCACAGGACCTGATTTTTGGACTGGATTTGGAGCCACACATGGAAACAAAAGTAATAGTAACAACTCTCATACTAGTCGTAGTGATAATAGTAGAGTTCTACTTTTATAAATGTCTTTGCTGCACATTTGGGCTGCCAAGATCAGTCTGTGTAGAAAGAGTCGGCGAGGCTCGACTTTCAAATTTCATAAAAAAGGGGATACAAACATGATTTATTAAAAGACAGAGAGATAAGGAAATGGCTCTGAAGGTGGATTTGCTCACAAGACATCTTGGTCATGTTCCAGATATCCACTCCAGGCCAACGAGCTGAACAACAAGGGGATGGACAAGGTCAGCCTGGTGGAAGGAGAAACAACACATTGTAGAATAACATGAACACATGCAGAGGTCCATACACATAAATACTGCCGCGAAATATTGACAACACGTCCGTTACGCGTTATCGCGGGGTAACAACAAAACAAAGCCTCAATGTGACCGTTTAGTAACGTCACGTCAGATTACACACGTCTTAACCCGCAGATAAAGACACACATAACACTGTTTGCTAACTCTTCATCCATTACAAAGAGAGACACGTTATTTATAGCAGCCTTAACGTTACGCGAACACTTAAACCCGCTGTGTTAGCTGGCAGCTATCTCTGTAGGTCAGGAACGAAACAAAGAGCGACACATTACAAAGTCGCGTTACAAAGAGTCAGCGGTAACAGACTTTCTTTCCGAGTGTTCTCTGTAACAATACACGACTACGAACTTCAAAACCACTCACAGTGTGTTCATCGTGTCCTCGGCTGGTACAGTTGCCGAAACTCAGCTGTGGTGTCTGGCAGGCTGGAGGTATGGACGCAGCAGTCACGTGACATGCTTTAACGTGATTTTGACATTCACTTTTTTTTTCTTTTTTTTTTTGCAGCATACCGTCAGTTGCGCAAGCAGCCATTCCCTCTCTGCCGTTTGTCTGTAATAGCTGCGGATAGAAGACCAGGGTTAGATTCGTGACTCAGACTCCATGTGGCGCTGCGCGCAGATTCAAATCGAGGACGTCCTCAAAGGTCCCTTCTCCAGAACTCAGTGACCACCTAACCTGTGGGTGAGCAGATGTCTTACAGAAACCCCAAACAACAGAGTAAACAATGCAGCCACAGCCATAACCAACCTGAAGGAAGTGCCATCCCCTTGACTCAAGCCATGTAAGAGATTTCAGTTTTAGAATTTTAATACATTTATGAAACAAAATCTAAAAACCTGTTTTAACTTTGTCATTTTTGTCATTTGGAAATACATCTACAGTACAATGAAGTACTATACTTTCTGGAGCCGCTGTAAAGTGTTTGTAAAACACTTGAATATGCATTTATATGCTTATTTTGGGATATGGGGGTTAAAATAGCAGGCAGCATTTAAGATATGGACAACAAGGCTGTTAATTGCTCCCATGAGCAATTAACAGCCTTAACTCCTTTAAAAACTGTTAACATTTACCTGATAACTATCCAGTCTGCAACATGATGCCAGGTTTTAATCCAATTATTTTCAGTTGCACATTTGAAGGCTCTATATTTTCCCTGGTATGATAATATGTCTGAAGAAAAACATTAGGAGAGACCCACTGAAAAACTTCTAAATTAGTTCAGTCCAATGGCATTTATGCAGTTTATGACAAAAAGCATTACAAAATCTCTTGTGGTATGTGTTAGAACCATTTTGTTATTGTTTTGTAAAACCTCCCAACACTTGGGGGGCGTAGTGCTGCTGTCAATTAAGCCACAGGTTAATATGATCGGGAGGGTCAGATGCAGATGTTGCTGAATAGACGGGAACAAACTGTTTTTGACCGTGCGATATTAACTCAAGATAAATGGTGTGATTTAGGAAATGCATCGTGACAGAGAAAGTGTCTGTTTATGTTGGAAAAGATGCAATTGTGAGAAATAAAATGCCTATGTTGGAAACTGGACTTCGCTATTTATTGCACGCTTTAAACAAGCAATCACCAACAGCGTTGACCTTGTTTTTTTTATAAGCAACAGGGTCACTACAGTACGTTTAGAAAACTCTTTTACTCTTATGTTAAATTTTACATACAGGGGAAAATGTGGCGGTGTTATTTATGGTGTTTTAGGAAACTTAGATTAGGATTAGATGAGAATTACATTTTCGATCGCCACCATTGTTTGGCCCTCGATCACTGGTTCTCAACTTTAATCCAAGTCTACATGATAAATAATCCATTCTCAGAGTGAGAAAATAAATCCTTCAAATAAAATACGAGAAGAAAAACTCTTCTTTGGTTGAGTTGTCTGCAGCACCATGACCTGCGATTAGCTTATTTGAAGACATTGCTTCATGTTGAGTGGTCACAAGCCAAAAAGGTTGGGAACCATTTCCAGAGATAATTCTCTTTAAATGTATAATATACACAAAGAAAACATAACTACACTACGAATTTAAGAATGTTTATTAAAAGAATAGTAACAACTGACTCTTGTGACTATGGCTTTAAAGAAAAACTGTATTTACAGATATGTACTGTATTGATTTTAGTTCATGCAAACAATTTTAGATTTTTTTGTTAAATGATAAAACATTTCAGCTCTAATCAGTCGTTGTCTGAGAAGTAAAAATCCTCTTCCTCTCCGCTTTCAGACAGTGCACCATCATTTCCTGGGAACATCTCCCAAACGAGGAAGGTGTCATTTTCTAGCAAAAAAAAAAGAAGGAAAGAAACGTACAGCTTTTGAAATGTGTTCAACGACTTTCTGACAATCTTTTACTGTGAGAATCTTTCTAAACACAGAACTCCTTCACAATGTAATAAAACGACAGCCTTAACAACAGACATGAAGTTAGACAGCGCTACCTATGTTAATAAAATGAACGCATTATAAACTTCAAATTAGTATTAGCTGTCGTGGTATTGTTTTGTATTCTGTAGTGTTTCTGTTATTTTGTCCCTTCTCAGGAATCCTACCTGTGTTACCACATCTTCTCATTGTTCGTTTAACGGATGGTGTGGGTGTGAAGCTCTGAAAGAAACAAAGCAGGAAATTGCTATTTCTCAAAGAAAAAAATGTAATCTACATGCTTCAGGACAACAGGAATCTCAGAGACGAATACCTATAAATAAATAAGTACCTTTGAAGAAGGGGCCTGTTTGCAGACGTTAAACTGATTTTTTTTCATCCTCTTCTGGAGTTGATAGACGTACTTGTCATCATTGCTCCTTTGAAAACAAGACAGAATTAAGTTAGTTATTGTACTGAGATGACTTCTTACAAGCTAGAACGCAGGAGTCGACGTCATTCACCTGTTTGGAGAACCCATCATGCCAGGAGTGATATGCAGACACTGAGGAGTCTTCACTTCGGGGAAACCTGTCGACATCGGTGTCAGTGGCTCCATTTCTGTCAATGTGAAGTCGTGGTCACTCGGACACATGGAGGGCATCTATGCATCAAGATAGCCACGAAGGGAACAGTTATCATTATCATTTTGTATGTGGTCATGATCACAAATTCAATTATTTTTTGTAAAAAAAACAGAAAGAAACAAACCTCAAAGCGTTTGTTCTGCATGTACGCAGAGCTGAAGACGTCCTCAACGTCTTCTCGGGGCATGGCCTCCAGGAACTGACGCACCTGCTGCTTTCTCTTTAAGGTTCCTGCTCGGGCAGATATCACCGGATAATCTGCATAGATAACCATGTCCTCTCATTTACTAAAAAAACTACATTTATTAGATCATTCTAGTAAAAAAAAAAAAAAAAAAAAAAAAAAAACAGAAAAAGAAAACACGAGTACTTCACTAACTACAATAAAATCCAATATGACTAATACGTAATACAACACCACAGTAACAAAACATAAGTAAAGATTACATCTGTCAGAGAAAAGGATAGTTTCACACTTTACTACGTCTTCAGCAGCGATGCAGTCGGCTGTGTGTGTAGTTCTGTTTGCTGACAGCCAGACACTATTCACATGATTTACAGCTTTACATATACAGTATATCCCATTCCTCTCATGAACTAGACCCAGACATTTGCTAACTCACTGTGTATTGCTTAGATTTGTCTATTGATATCAGAGAACTTTTTGCAACTGTACAAAGACAAAAAAGAAATACAAATGTTTGGGGCAAGGGCTCAGACACAGGCTGACTTGACAAATTGCCTCAAGTGATGTCACCTGAATCAAATCTGGGGGTGTGGGTTTAGAAAGAGTGAAATGACATCCCAAACTACACGCCTTCTCTACCTGTATCTTTTGGTGCTTCCAACTTCTTCTTTGTGGGTTTCGTGGCTCTCTTAGCAGGAGTCTGGGAGGTTCCCTGGGATGTGTGCTGGAAGTGGCACTCTCCTGCAGAACGTGTTCCAACCATCCTCGCCACCTTTGCCCAGTAACCTGCCATGTGCTTAGGATAGTAGGACACGGCCCTAGAAAACACAACGCGCACACGCACCAGTGGGCCGTGAGGTTATGATACCAAAATATGCAAAATGATACTATCTCATTCTGTAGGTTTACTAAACTTACTCTTGTAGCTTCATAAGCTCCGCCTCCGTCCACTCGTCAGCATCGTGCTCTTGCGGAATCGGTGCGTTGCCTTTGTTTGCCGTGGGTTTTTTCTTGCTGGTCTGTGTCAACTTAGGCAAAGGCTTTGTGGGTGATGATGACTTGGTCGATTTGCTCTGTTTTTGTTTTGTTTGTGTTACTCTGGTTCTCTTCCCCACTTCCTTCTCAATCTCATCAGAGGACTCTGATGACTCGCTTGATGGAAACACGTAGCTTGGCCGTGACTTGTTAAGAGCTCTCCTGCCTCCCTTTCTGTGCACTTCCTTCCCTGACTTTCTTCTCCAATTGACCTCCTCATCTGATGATGCTGATGTTTTAGAATCATTAAATGATTTTGGGGGTGCTGGGACAGCCCGCTTGCCACCCAAGACTCTCACTGAAGACCTTGTGGAGTTATGTGTCTGTTTTCTTGAAGACTTTTCAGGTTCCTTTTGCTTTTGAGGGACAGTGTCCACATACAATGTTTTCTCTGTAGCTGGACGTCTTCGGCTGGACCTTGTTTGTCTGCCACACCACTCCTCAGGGCTGTGAAGTGTCTCCACAGGAGGTTCAGGTGAATAAGAGGGCTTGTTTTCAGGCTTAGATTTGGCACTGTTGCCTTTGCGGAGTGGAGCCTTGACCCTCCTCAGAGGTACTGATGCTTCTTTGTCGCTGGCTGATTCACATTGCTGACGGCCTGGAAACATAGAAGACAGTTTGTCTGCATGCAACTCATAGCTTATCTCACAATACTAAGACTACAGCTAAACTATCTTTACCTTTACTGCAGGGCAGGAACACACGCGGAGGTTTCTGTGACGCTCTCGTAGACTCCGTTGTAGAGCCCTGCAGTGAGATACAGACATTAAACATGGTCACATTGATCAGAAATATCTGTTGTTTGTACATAGATTATTATACAACTCATGAACTCAACTTTAGGTGCTTACAGGGATGCAGATGGAGGTATCATAACATTCGTGGATGGTAACATTCATGTGTGCATCCAGAATGACTCTCCCTCCTTTCCAATACTCCAGAGGTGGCTTGATCACGCGACCACTTCGGGACACGTTTGGTCGAGACAAGGAGGCAGGAAGAGAGGAATCCGCTGGAGAAGGAGAAGAACAAGTGTACAAAACTGATAACACTCCTATTAACTTCAGCTATATTTTGTGTTTAGTGCATATGTGTAAATATCAGCATGCTAAACTTAGATGAATAACATGGTAAACATTATGGGGAGGAAAAAGTAACATTTTCTACAGATCTCTCAACCAAATGAATAATGGGTGTAGGAGGCTGCCATTATTCATGCCCGAGAACATTCTTGTTCTGAGCATTTATTTGCCAGGCTGTTAGCTAAAGCATTTAACGTGAACTCACGAGTCTTGAAAGATTTTTTCTTCTGCCGCTTCACAGTGTCAATGATGGAGGATGCCTTGGGTTTTGTCTTCGACGTGACACTTCCCCCCTTGCTGTTCCTCTCCGTTTCTCTGCTGGGGTCGCTGCAACACAACAAAAAATACTCAACTTTCAAAACTAACCATATGTGAATATGATTTTCAACCATTAGATGGTCATTATGTCTCATGCTTTAAATTATTCAACATTTCGATCAAAAGACAAAACAAATCTTGTATCTGTAACAGCATAAACGGAACAGTATTAGTATTCTTACTCGCTTGACTCTGATAGAAATCTCTCATAAAGGGCTTCCCAGTCTGGAGGAAACCCATTGGCAAACTTCTTCAAAAGCCACTTGGGCAACCCTGCAGGTGGTAAGTGAGAGGTACATGAAAAGAGTATTAATCCACACGGTATTCACAGCAACATACGTTTATGTGCAAGCTTTCTGTATTTTTTTAATGCATTTTTAACCTATTTCTGGCAAAGTGAAACATGTTTTCATTGGTAAATATCTACCCACACATAATCGGGCTTACCAGAGTCGGCGCTCATGTTCATCTTGTCACTCAAGATGTAAACCCTGCCGGAGACGGTCTTCACAACATTATTAGAAACCCGGGCCACAATGATGTTACTGTTCCATGGTATGTTTTCGGCCCTGGGCGGAGAAGACAAGTAAAAAAAATCCCAGTGTTTACATTAAACCACACACAAATCTGAAGAGATCTAAAACCTAAAGCATGGACACGTCTGTCTCACAGGACAGTAGCTGAGTAAACAATCTGCTCTAATGACCTTTGAATGCATCGTTTCATTTCATCAAGAAACACTTACCGGTGGATTCCATCAACAAACAGGCCCTTGTGATTCCTCCTCAGGAACCACTTTTTGAGATAAATCACACTCTCCTGCCAAAGAGGAAACAACACAAGTCCAATTTAAATCAATAGACAAAATTATCAAATAGAAGACAACTATGATTAACTTCAATATCCCATTTGATCTAACATGTACCCGTAAATCCAAACAATGAATTGACCAGTGGTCTGACTTTGTATGATAAATCAACATAAAATACTCTAATACCGCTTGCATTTAAGAGGTATTAATGTTAAAATAAGTTGCTACTCACACTTGGGAATTTTATGCTCTGGGGCCATTTGTTTCGCTTGAACACAGCGTCTAGCTTCTTCGGTATGGAGATCCTCGGCGTATTGAGCACAAGCGGGTCTTCCAGCGAAACAGGTTGTGGCGACACAGCAGGTGTCAGGACATCCTCAGAGGGGTCCGTGTCCGACAGGCTGTCAGCTGACTCTACTCTGGACCGGTTGACCTGAGCCACACTTTCTGGAACACTTCTAAAAGCAATGTCCTCCATCTCTCCCATGCTGTGGACTGTGGAGGGAGGCGATGTGTCTCCGGACTGATGGGAATCACCTGTGGAGAAGAAAGTAGATGATAGTATAAACACAAGTAAGCGACACGCAAACATGACGTAGAAACACCTAAACTGAAACAATACATGTCACCATACATGCACAGCTAACCGTTTTGGCTTATTTCCACTTCATAACACACTCACTTGTATTAAAGAGATCCCTCGTGCTGCTGCTGACTTTATGAACTTCCTGCTGCTTCGTTTTACTTTCCCTCTTCTTCATGTAAGTAAACATCTTAGCTGGAGACATTAGAGGACACTTTTCCACACGAACATAGCAATCTGTTCGAAACAACAAAGAGGAATCAGTCAATTTGTTCACATTAATAATGACTTTAAGAAAAGAATAAAACAGCAATGATATCTCACGTTTCATTGGTGATGGGAACACGGGTTCATGGAGGAATTGGTTCGCCTCTGATGCAGTAGATAATCCTCTGACATTACCCAAACCCTCAGTGCAAGTGTTGTTGTCCCCACTGAACGCACGGGAGGTTTTCCTTTCTTGTGGCTGACTTCTGGGTTCATTGCTGACCTCCTTTGTGCCGCTGGTGACTCTGTTAAACTCCTGCGGCTCACATTTTCTCTTTAACCTCTTCCTCATGGGGGAGAACATAAAGGCTCTAGACATCCGTGGGTCAAGAGGAGCACACCCCTCCACAAACACACTGCTTTCAAAGTCACTGTCCACTGGCTGTACCTTCACTGGCGTCCTGCTGATTACCTTGAAGCCACCCGAGTCTCTGATCTGAGGTGACTCTGTGTGGATCTGCTTTCTGTTGACCAGAGAAGAGGGGTGAGACAACGCTGTTGACTCCAGGAAAGCTCTCTTTCTTGGTGTGCACCCATGTCCTATTTCTGTCATAGGAGGCTTTTCTTTCACGTGCTTGCTGATACTGTCTGGATGCACGAAGGTTTTCTCGGGACTCGATATCGGCGAGAGAGTCAAGGCCTGCACTTCATTGCGATACGAACCGGACCTCTGATTCTTCTTCAGCTCATCGGTCATCCAGGTGCTCTCTGCTCTCTTCCTCGGTGACTTAAACACACCATGTTTGTCTCTAACGCTACACAGCGGGTCGCTGCCTGTAAAAGTCTCCTCCTTCGCGTGAATCGCTTCTCTCTTCACTTTCGACTTTAGCTTAGCGAACACCTTTGCAGGAGATTCAAACCGTGGTGTTGTGTGTTGTAATAAATGATGAAACGACGCCATGGTCTTTAGGAAAAAGAAAAACGATAGCTATACATTCGAGGCGTTTGCTAGCAGCTAGCTCGCTAGCTCGCAATTCAAATTTCGCATCACCGCCGCGTTTGGATAGAAACCTGTGACGTACTGACAAAACAAGAAACGTCACTTCCGCACAGTACTTAACCGTTCACAGTCCCCTGAGACGCGAAAGGGAAACATTAAAACATTTTGTAAATACATTTAACTGGGAGCTTACCCCATTGATATCTAATAACAAATTAAGTTAAAGAAATATCTGTTTTGTATTCAAATATTACCCCACAAACGATGAAAAGAAACTCAACACTAACACATGCAGTTGAACTTTCAAATACGTTGTACCCTCAATAGTTGTTTTACGTATATTTATTACTATTTATTATGAACCATTTTTACATTTTAATTTCTACATTTGTTTAATTTTTTTTATCCCGTGGAGGGCAGTAATACGACATGCAAAAAAAACATAGAAGAAGAAAATGCGTACTGCGCATGCTCGCCTCAAAGTCACACTTCCGGGCTAAGGTTGTTGATTTCTGAGCTGTCGCTGTCTGTCTGTCAGGTGTCGATAACATTGGTATTCACAGGGAGTATTTGTGTGGTATTGATTTTATGTAAATGAACATTGCGACTATTATATTTAATACAAAACGGACTGTTAGAACTGTAAATATAATTGGATATAAAGTGTTGTTTAGGTCAGCAGACTAAAAACTCTTGAACTGGTGTGACTGAAGTGATGCAACATGGCAGCAACTCCTCTAAACAGGTGTTTTCTGTCAGCACTAAGGAGACGGTGTCAGAGCCGTGGACTTAACTCTTTAGCAGAGAGGACAGTCAGTCGGGTGTCCTCTGTTGAGACATGTAGCCACAGGAGAGCAGAATGGAGCACACGCCTGGACAGGGTACCCTCGATGGAGTGGGACAGAAACAATGGTAACAGCAGCTCCCCTCTGCTCACGTCACTGTCGGTGGGTTTGGGACTCTGTGGTGCGGCACTTTTCGTCAGTCAAAAAGATGAACAAGTGAAGGACGGAAGAGCCTCGATATCCGGGCGGTTTGTTGAACTCACTCTGCCATCAGCTCAGTGTGCTGCTCCATTTAAACCCGACAGCCCCCGGTACAAATACAACTTTATTGCAGATGTAGTCGAAAAGTCCACTTCAGCTGTTGTCTACATTGAAATCTTGGGGAGGTGAGTCTACTGAAAGGGTGCTTTAGTTGCAAAATCAATTCATTTTTAGCATGTGTTGCACCAAATTCTCAGCTATGTTACCACTTTAAATGTTTGTTTTTATCATACTATATATAGCATAGCTTATTTTGATTAGTGTTACTCCCTCAGTATACATTGAAGTGACAGCAAACAAACTGTGTGACTCTATCTAAATCCTAATGTTTGTGAATACAGGAGTGTTCTCTAATAAAGCACATTATCCTGTTTACCTGGATCTTGTTGAAACGCCTGTTTGTCAATTGCTAAAATAACATTATAGTTTTCCTGTCTGTGCGGATTACTCTGAACACATTTTGCTTTCAGGGTGAATAAGATCAACTGCTTTTCCTGTTTTACAGACACCCATTTTCAGGAAGAGATGTCCCCGTTTCAAATGGCTCTGGTTTCATCATTAGCAGCGACGGTCTCATTGTAACCAATGCTCATGTTGTGGCCAACAAGAGAGGCGTCCGAGTGAAGCTCACCAACGGAGAGATGTACAATGCCACTGTGCAGGATGTCGATCCAGTGGCAGACATTGCCACCATCAAAATCTCAACGAGGGTGAGCGGCAATAATCTCCGCTAAAGGAACTGCACATTTATTTGTTTACATACAAGCTGTAAAGAAGTACTGTTGAACTGCTCTTTCTCTCCATCGCAGAATCCGCTACCCACGCTCACCCTGGGTCGGTCGTCTGATATTCGACAAGGAGAGTTTGTGGTAGCCATGGGAAGCCCGTTCTCTTTACGGAATACAATCACGTCAGGAATCATCAGCTCAGTACATAGAGGCAGTAAGGAGCTGGGCCTGTCCAACTCCAACATGGAGTACATCCAGACGGATGCAGCTATAGATGTGAGTATTAAAAGGATATATATGTACACAAAACCTTTGCAAAGAGGACACTAGTTGCTTAGACTTGAAGTTAGCCTGATGAACAGACAGCCACATACAGTACACGTTAGCAACAACAATGTATCAGGAAAAAAATTTACTGTGACTCAGAACGGTCTCATAATAACGGCACATGTAACCGATTTGTGTTGCAGTTTGGAAATTCTGGAGGTCCCCTGATTAACTTGGTGAGTCACAGGTCTGGTTTTCTTGTTGATTATCACATTCAAATGTCACCAAACCTGTTCTGACTGGTGTGTGATGCCTGACTGGACACAGGGTATATTCATTTTAGTTTAATTAATAGTGCACTTACAAGGAACCTTCATTTTTGTATTACAAAAAGTTGCATTAGTTTAACACTGCAAGAGTTTGACCTTACTGGACTTTGGCAGCCAAATAACACGCTATCTGAATGTGTTGTTTCTCCTCTTATTAGGACGGTGAAGTCATTGGTATAAACACCATGAAGGTCACCTCAGGGATTTCTTTTGCTATTCCATCTGATCGCGTGACACTTTTTCTCGATCAAGCATCGAAAAAGAAGAGTAAGAATCAAAAGCTACACATCGCACCCTCTTTCTGTCTCCCATATTCTCTGTAGCATCCAACTTCTCACTCTTATAAAATAAATTGTTTTTGCGCATCTTCTTCAAGACTCTTGGTTCGGTGAATCAGAGACGAAGCGGCGGTACATTGGCGTAATGATGCTGACACTGACGTCGAGGTAAACGCTTCACAATCAGACCGCTGCAGTAAAACAAAGTGTCGTTACAGCAGGGCTGGCACCACTGTGGCTAAAACCAGATGTGTTTCTGCTTCAGCATCATTGCAGAGTTGAAGTTGAGGGACTCATCCTTCCCCAACGTGACACATGGCATCTTGATTCACAGGGTGATCTTGGGCTCACCGGCCAACAGGTAAGCAGATCTGGATGAGTGGAGGAGGATCCTTCTTGCTCTTGAAGTTTCAGTGTTGAAGTCTGTGCTTTTCCCCTTGTCACATGAACATCTTTGATTTACAGCCGTAAGCAAGGATTTTAACTTGAATGGTATGTTGCTGCTAACCCACAGTACCGTCGTACTTGTTTCAGAGCTGGCATGCTACCAGGAGACGTCGTGGTGGAGATTAACGGAGAGAAGGTGAACACCTCGGAGGAGATCTATCAGGCCGTCCGCAGCGGCGACAAAATCACCATGGTTGTGCAGAGAGGACAAGAGTTGCTTCAACTACAAATGACTCCGGAGTGCACAGAGTGACACTCACTTCATGTTAACCTGAGGGCCAGACGGTCACATGGTTAGTTCATGCTTTAATGTAAGGTTCTGAGCTCCAGTATTTGATGACTTGTTAAATATGTGAACCTGTCAGACCCTAAAGAAAAAGAATAGATGAACAGCCTGGTATTTATCCAGGTATTGAGTACAATAAATAAAATGTGTCTTCTACCTCCACAAAATCCTTCCTCTTAATTGCCAAAGTAGCAAAACTAATCATGTACCATGTAATGAATTGTTTCTAAATTAATTGAACCTGAAACAATGTACTTTATTTAAAGCCATTTAATGTTGGACGGCATCAAGAAGCATGAGAGACCCAACAATGTGGCATGGATCAATGGTGTTTGCAAACAGGTTTGAGAACTCAATAGTGCTACAATATGAAAATATGAACATCCCACTAATTTTAAAATTAAATTTAATTATGTCACTCACAGTAAAAACCCAAAACATGAATTGACTTCATGTTCAAGAAAAATGCCGATCCTCTATGATGAGAAGCAAACAAAAGAAGTGAAGCAGTTACTCTCAGATTTCATAGTAAGAGAAGTCAAAGCTGTGAAGCCACACCAAGTAATTTCCCTAGTATATGTACAGTAACACACACTTACAGTAAAGTAATAAAGTGACATGTACTGGACTGCTACATAATTAAATGCATCTACGTCAAAGACTGATTGCTAAGTGGAGGGAACATTCAAACCACCTAAGGTCTAAACAATATGTTCGTACTTGATCTGGACTTAGGACATCTTGTTAGGTACAAGTACTACAACATACAAGTATGGGAGGAGAAATTAAATTGATCATTTAAATCCCATTAAAATGACTTTAAAAAGGCTTAATATATATTGCTGGTAATATTTTTCTTTTTAAGAAAATATAAATTGTGCGACTGAAGCTTACAATACACTGCTGGCAGTAGACCCAGGTTCTGTTGTGACCTGCTGGAAAAGGGGCATGTGCCGAGAGATTCCCCGGAATAGAGAGGAAATAAAAAAAAAAAAAAGACAATTGGACATCTCATGATGCCTGAATCCTTTGCACCAAAACCCAGATGCTGCTATGGTGTTTGCCACGGTGGAATGCTGCAGATATCACAAGGTGTACAAACAGCAGCCAGACGAGAATCAAACTCATACAGTTACATAAATAAGGAGCAGTGGGGCGAGGTCAGGGCTCTTGGAAAGGGAGTGACAATATGAGGGAGACATTGTAGTGTCCAGCAGTGAACAGGGACTCCTTTTATTTTTAGCTAGATTGTATTGACGTGGTCCAGAGCGCACAGCAGCTCCTCTCCCTGCAGCAGGGACTGACGGCCCTGCAAGGGGGCATTGACCTCGCAGTCGTAGCGGGTGAGCTGTGGCAGCGTGAAAAGGGAACCGGTGCCCTCGGCCGTGCTTCCCAGCAGACGACTCGCCAAATCTAAGAACAAGATATTTCAGAGTTATGATTCTGCTGGTGTTTAGTATCAAGGAGCAGTCTGATGTTTTTTTTATATCTCAGATCCAGTTTATTCACCTGAAGGCAGCAGAAGTATGGTCCTGGTTGTTGCTGACTTTGAGGCCTTCAGCTTTTTGCCCTGCTCCACTTGTTCCTGGGGCAAAGTTTCCTGTGGAAATCATCAAATGCAGACACTCAAATTCTCCATTTGTAAACATAAAGTCAGATCTATGTAAACCATCGTTGGATGTTGGTGACTTACCTGTCCAATAATCTCTATTATGTCACCCAGCTTTCTTTTGCGCTGTGAATTCTGAGCTGCCAGGGTCCTGAGCGAGACTTCTTTGTCCAGCTGTGGGGTCCTGTGGCACAGAAATAGTGATTAGCTAACCCAAAAAAAAGCCTTATAAAGCAATGAATATGGAGCTTTTGGAAGGCTTTACCTCTTAGCAACGATGGTGGCAGGATGAGGGGCGGTAAGTGGTGCCGGGGAAGCTGTGCGACTACCTGGTGCACTGAATGGGGAGCTGGGGTAGCTGTGAATGTCCTGTGTCATGTGGACTGGAGAATTCTGAAGGGACTGGACTGATCCGCAAGATAGAGACTCTTCTGGGGTCAGACTGCGCAGCTGGAAGTCATCATCCATGGGGATGTAGGGAGCCAACATCTCCAGATCTAAGTCTTCCATTGCCTTCAGGGGAGAAAAAAAAAGTCTAATGATAAGGATACAGAGATCCTTCTTCTATATTAGATCAACAACTAACCACAATGAACTCCACAGTGTCTCCTGGCATTATTACCTGTGTGGTGAAGGGGGCCTTGGGCTCTGTATCAATGGCAAACAGCTTCTCCACCAGGTCTAGTTTGAAATCTGAGCTCATCTCCGAGTCCATGGGATAACAAAAGTCCAGCGGACTGTCGGCCTAAAGAGAAGTCAAAGGTTATTCCCTTCTCAGAACACATTAGTAAGTGGAGGAAATACTGCAAAATGACAACAACTGACTGTCTGACCTCTGAGGAGCTGCTCGATGAGGTGCACCGGACTGGAGCATAGCTCTTCGCTTTGTCATCCTCAGAGCTGGTGGTGGCGACACGGAGAGGCTCGCTAAGTGGCAGAGCCAGCTTGTCGCTGGTGGAGGGAAGCATTACATCATTGTATAGCGGGACCTCCTCCAGCAGCAGGATCTCTGAATCTGTACCGGAAGACAAAGGGAATTAATAATGGTTTCAAACTCTGATTTCTACTGTGGAGACGTTTAAGTGCTGTGAGGCCACAAACCAGGGCAGCTGAAGTCCAGAGAGATGATGGCGTCTCCAGCAGCCGGGGCCAGCAGTGTGAGGGCCTCTGGCTGTGCCTTCAGCTGGTCATACAGGCTCGCCAGAGGCTTGGCCTCTACTGCCTGAGTGAAGAGTTTGATCACATCCAGCTCTGGGCCCTTCTTCTCGTCCTTCAGCAGGAACTGAGACATGTCTGGCTGGCTGCTCTCAACCACATCCTTTTCTTCCTCCTGCTGCTCCTCCTTCACTGGCTTCACATCCTCGATCTGCTCCAGGGACAATATCAGTTTCTCCTCCTGGATGCCACTGTAACAGCCGTGAGATTGACTTTACTGAGTATTTTTGCAATGGCTCTGAAAATACCACCACAAAAGAATAACAAAAAAAAAAACACGGTCTGTAATCTGTCTTTTGTACAAGCCAGATCTTCAGCCATCTCATTTTACACGAGAATAGAAACGTTACAATCTCTTCTGGAAATAATGAAGAGCCTTTATGGTACCTGAGCACAAAGTTGACACAGACAACACACTGTGGCTGGGAGTTCTTGTTGTTGTAGATGACAGTGGCTTGTGTTTCCACCCACACAAAGCCGCCTCTCTTGGCCAACATCCGGTACTGACCTGTGCTCACTTGGCCCTTTGCAAACACTAAGACCAGCGAGAAACACAAAGGAAATAAAGAACAGATAGATTTAGACATTTGGTGAAAGGTTTGGCAAAAATAACATCTGAAATGTGTTAAGTTTTAATTCAATGCACTCTTGTTCTTCATGCTTACAGTTGTGGTGAGTCTTGGTAAGATGGTCCGAGTCCAGAGCATGATAGTACTCATACACAGAACGATTCAACAGGTCTTCTGGATCATAACCCATGAGCTCAGTGATCCTGGTTTAAAAAAAGAAAAAAAGTCTCAATTCCTCTGCTGACATGCAGACGAGGCTTCTGTAGTACCTACAATGGACACTAGGTGGCTCTCTGTGACTGCTTAAGAGAGCTTTGGCAATAATAACAGTAAAAGCACAGGCTCCATGTCAAGCTTCTTAATATTCACTCACCTTTCGTCACAATATGTGAACTTCATGTCCATTGTGTGGCGGCTGAGAAAAGTCTTGGTGTCAAGAGGGACCTCAATGTTGGAGGGATGTTGGATGGGGTCGCAGACCAAAACCAGGTAGGGGACAGGTGGCTCCTGGTGCCCGTTGGGAGTCTCCTCGGTGTGCGTGGCATATACACGGACATGACCGGAGCAGTGGAGCACCTACAAACAACAGGCCGGTCATAACATTTCTATTAGAATTTCCAGACCCCCCCAAGGAGAGTGAAATGTTTCTGAAGCAGCAGACACATAATTAAAATGACTCATGTAAATCCTCCCTGACTCCACCACTGCCTACCTTCCATGTAGCTGATTTGACGTTGACCGTGCGGCCCCTGCTGGTGAGAGTGCATTTCATTCGGAGGAAGAAGCTGCGCTCGGTGTTTGGTTCCTTGGCCTTTTTGGAGCCTGAAATCACAAACGGGAAGAGAGGTTGACTGCCTCCATCTTATCTTTTCATTCAGAGTTCACATTTGCATTTTGAGGATACATGAGGCTATAGAGCACTGTGGTCATTTGACAGCAAGCTAAATAAATGAAGTGGAGCGACCGGCCGTTGTAGCTGAAATATCTCTGCATGTAAACTGACTGAAATGCATGGCATGCACTGATAACTAATTATGTTATGAAGTACATTTCAAAAGGGAAGAACCGGGGCGTTTTAGCCTAATTCATTTCACATAAAAGTTCTAGTGAGAACCTTAAATTAACTCACTGGGAATTATACAATAACAACAAATTCAATCCACTGACACAAAGCAAAGCTCAATTGTGTTGTGCAAGCAAAATAGGAAATGTGCCTTCTGTGCTTTGTGAAAGGTCACTTAATTCCAACACTAGCCAATTCTAATCACTTTGACCTCTGGACTGAAGAGGGAAACAATAACTCGTTCTGACAGCCTGCTGCTTTGAATTTGCCAAAAAAAGAGTGAAAGTGCTATTGGAGCACAGTCAGACCTGACAGAGTGCGTGTGTGTGTGTGTGTGTGTGTGTGTGTGTGTGTGTGTGTGTCCCCGATTCTGTCAATTAGTGAGGTCATATAATTTGTCCCTACTCGCTGTTGTCCCTCACCTGTTTTGTGGACCAGCATCTCCCTCAGCTCTTCCTGGTCACAAGGATGTATATAGTCAAACACACTGTGTCCACACAGGTCAAACTGCATCAGAGGGAGGGAGAAAAGAGTGAAAGTCCTGTTACCATATACATGTACATGCAGCAGTTTATAGTTGTTCATGGTGGACATTGTGTGGCAATTTCTATAGTTATTCCATTAAATGTATATGTGGCTGTTTATTGAGCAGTATCTGTAAAAACCTAAGATCAACCACATTTAAGTTTCTGACTCCTGCTATGCTATTTTCCAGAGGGTCTCTTTAACGTTTACACACAACAGGTCGACTCAGACCAACCTGTTCCAGCCCGAGGCACTTGTTGACATTCTCGGTTAGATAGATCATGTCTCCATCATCCGACAGGACCAAAAGAAAGCCCTCAAGAGCCTTTAGGTAGGAGCTGTTTAGCTGTGATTCAAGCTCGGTTTCCTCCTCGGTGATTGGCTCATCTGGAGGAGATAACATGGAGAGAGAGGTAAAGGAAGGTTGGAAAAGACAAAAAAAAACAGAGGAAATTGAGATGAAAAGATGTTTAGGGTGTTTCCGCCAAAAGATCCTTTACATTATTTGTATTGTAGTTTATCACAGTTAAAAAAAAAAAAACAATGAAAATGTATCTGGCACCTTTATCAAAACAATCCATTCTCAAGATGCCTCTAAGATAATAATGGAAATGGCTGCAAAATGTAATCATCACATGGAGACCAAAAATAACAAAAAAAATACACACTATGCCCCAAGATAAATAGTTCAGCGACAGGTATAACAGCTATAGACACTGACCAGTGCTGAGAAGTTTCCTCATGCGCAGGTAGCTGATAATCAGCCTCATTATCGAGGCTTTGTCCAGGCTGGAGCTGACGCTGTGGGGCAGGGGCAGCTCCTGTGCCAGCTCGTAGAACACCTCCGACTCCTTCCCACGCCGGCTTCGCGCCGCATCCCTCGACTTCTCCTTCCTGCGGTCCGAGCTCACCCTGCAGGAGACAGGTGGAGGGTCAGCCAAATCCTGGCCACCAACTGGTTCAATACACAGAGCTGACATCTCCCCAACCCTTTTCCCGACTGAGAGTGTCTGGTCAGCTAACCGTCCTGTGACTGGGGAGGCTGCAGCAGCTGGAGCCCAAAACAAGCAAGTTCACAGCCAAGCTTCTGTCTGGACCCCGGTCAGACTCATTTACATAGATGGCTATCTGCAACCGTCTTATTGGCTGTTGACCAAACAAAATGGAGTCCGCCCACTCAGACTGATTGGCTGGGAGGCAGGGCATGGAGTCTCCTGTCTGCACAGTCAAGCTACACCAATCATCCTGACATTTATGAGTCTGGCTGAACGGATCTTCAGGAGAGAGAATGATAACACACTAACTCAGAGATCGCGCTCTCACACACACACACACACACACACACACACACACACACACACACACAC